CCCGCAACCTGTGCATTCTTGATAGTGGCTGCCTTACCACCAACGGTGAGGTGCACCGCTCGCATCCACAACGACTCGCCTCCCTCCAAGTGTTCAGCCTGATGCTCCAGAATCCTCCGTCCTTGCCACCGTTGAACTCCAAGGCGCAACAACTTCCGAACATCTTTGGGAGGCATCTTTAACAGCGAAACCACCATGCCCGTGTCACTGACAATCAGCGTGCGACTAGCCATCTCCCAGCCTACTCTTCGCAAAGACAGCCAGGTCGCAGCGATCGGTCCTCGAACCCCCTGCCAGCCTGGATCACGCCCATGCCACAGGTCCAGGAGTACACGCCACGCCCGCTCGAGCTTGCCCATGTCCATTCTCATGTCGAACACGAAACAACTGTACATATACACCATGTTGAGCGTCGCGTCGAAGATCGGGTCCATGTACGGGCCACGCTGGGACACCAAGTAGGCCGTGACACTGACCCCTTTGGCGCGAACCCCAGCGATGACTCCAGCCGTCTGCCTGAGCTGCCTCAGGTCGCTGTCGGGAACGCCCGGGACCGAGCTGCCGTGCGCAGCCCCTGCCAGCAACCCAGACCGCCAGATGGCCCCCACTTTGGAACCAGCAGCCTTCTGGAGCACCTTGACGCGCCCCATTCGCTTCTGCATCTTATCCAGACGTCCCTTCGCAACCGTGCGAATCACACGGCCACCAACCATATCATGTCCCAAGTTTCGCATCTGCTTCCCCTGAGTGAGCCCCAGCACTTTGGCCCACGGAGAAAACTTCTTGAGCGCCTCACGGGTGGTGCCCACATAGCCCGACTTGACAGGCTGAACCAGCAGGCCGAGCCTTCTCATACCACTCTTGTAAATGCGAGTAGCCTTGACCAGCTCGCCCATGTCTTGCAAGTCCTGCCCCACCCACTGCAGGGTTCCATCATCCACTAGAGCCCGAGGGTGAATCGTCGGACAAATCTCCTTCACACTAATCAACGTACGAATCATCAACACCGTCAGCAAAGTCGTGGCGTGAGCGCATCCAGGCAGGATACCTTGCCCCACCTCGTGTAGGACAGGCACCGACCCAAACGCTTTCACAGCCCGAGGCATCTTGTAAGAAGTCACCAACTGCCAAAGTAGTCGCAAAGGGTATCCAACTTCCCGAGCCTCACTAAAAGTACTGCTGACCTTGACCGTGTCGAAGCACTTCCACATGTCCATCACCACCGTGAGCGAGTGCTCGCCCAGCAGCTTAGACATCTCCGCCATCGCGTTATGCATGAAGGCCGACCCCGACGACGAGTACCCCTTCCTGTTGCCCCAGATCACCTCCGAGGGGAACTGCTGCAACCATTGCCGTGAAAGCGGTCGTCGGACTCTCGCCCAGACCCGTATCAGCGTGTGAATGAGAGCCACCAGTCGAGTACCCCCTCCTTCCTTTGGAATCATAGCCATCTCGGAGTGGATACGATTCACTGGCCAGAGAAGCAAGTCCTCGCACTCCATGAAGAAAGCAGCCATGGCCCCCAAAGCCTCACGCGATAAGAACCACAACGATCTGGGCTGCAGCTTCGACGGACCCGCTGCCGTCTTCCACTTGAAAGATAGGATAGCCTGCACCAACATATCCGTGGTGATGTAAGGCAGAGAAGGCCAACTGGCACTGTCGGTCGGCAACAGGATCTCGCTATCCTCATGCACAGTCCACACCTTCAACCACTTTCGCATTTCACGATCAGCCAGCTCGCGTGGTGATTGCTCATTGCCTGCCTCGATGATCTCCTGGGCCGCCTGTAACCTGGTAAAACGATGCGCACCACTAGCACCTTTCTCAAAGGCTGAATCCACGAACCTCTTCCATCGGGCCCGATCACGCTTCTCATGAGCAGACAGCAAGCGATCATGAGCACCTTGGATGTTGGCAAACACCTGGTCAAAATCATCACGCGCCAATAGATCAAAGCAAGATGACGGCAAAAAGAATTCAGATACCCATGCAGGTAGGGCTTGCAAAGTGCCATCACAACCACGAACACCATGCATAAAACGAGCGAATTCCACCAGCACCTTCGCCAGCGCGGAATGATCGGCCAGAACGTTCACAATTCTGTTCCCGTCCTGCCAAATAAGAAGCTTGTCTATCAACTTGGCAACGTGCTCCTTGACCCTCCTGCAATGGCCAACCCACTTTAGAGCAACCATCCAAGCCCGTACCTCAGGGCCATGCTGCAACCGTCGAAGAGGAGGTCGCCACTTGGCCTGTGCCATCTTGGTAAGTAAATGGCCACCACGTCCAGACGTCGACGAAGCCTTCACTCCATCTACACAATCATAGACGCCCTGCAATTCAAACCCCAGTCCAGCCAGCAACGCGCCCCAAGCCAAGCTCAAGCCGCCGCTGGTTTGAGCATAAAAAACTTGCCGTTCAACCTCACTCCAATCCAATGGAAATCTCTCACATCCAATGGGCGGCGTCTTCGAGAAGGGAGCTGGCTCCACCACCTGTCGAACCCATGCTGGCCTGTCTTCAGCTAACGCGGGCAACTCCAAAGGTGAATGAGCTTTGATATTACTGTCGTCAACCACCTGAGGCCGTAGAACTCGAGCACCCAAGTTGGCACAAACCAGAGCGTAATCAATGATACTGCCAGGCTGCTCCAACAAACATGCGGGCCCCGAAGGAGCCGCAACAAAGCCATTCACGCCTGCCAGCCATCCAGAAGAAAGCAAATCAAGCGTGAGGTTCCAATCCCCCATGACAATCCAGTCGCGCCCTATCGCATTCAATACTGCAAGATATCTCGCAATCTTCAAGAGTAAGGCCCCATTTGCTGCACTCATTCCCTCACCAGAGATAAGATACACAGCAATAATAACAACCCCTCCTGGTACCATCCAGGAGACATCAGCAGCAGCGATACGACCAGGCTCCAACTCATGCCCAGGGAGCTCAGGAGGCGCCTTCACCACGATGTGCGTCGGAGCCAGGATGGCTACTCCACCAGATCGCCCAGTAGCGTCTGTCTCCACAGCACCACCAAAGAAGCCATGGAAGCCAAGATCACGAATATGAGCCTGCTACGAAGGAAGATGCTTGGCTAACGTGCGATGCTCCTGAATCACCACGATCTTGGACCTGCACGCCTCCATAAACATTTTGACAGGTCCAGCACCCTCCACATTGGCAGACGTGATCACCCCCTTCAACCTGAGATCAGTATTAGACTGCTGACCAAACGCCAGAGCGGTGCTGGCCCCAGTAGACGCACACGTGGCCGAAAAAGAGGTCGACGCCGCCGTCGAACTCTCGGCGATACCGAAGAACCCGTCCTGGTCGAAGCCAACGTCGTCTGACTGCTGAAAATCCAGCTGGCAATCATCAACGTCCAGACAGGAGTCTGCCACAACCTGCTGCTGCGGCAAAGCGTACAAAGGAACACCATTACGCGGCATCTCAATAAGGCGCACGCACGACTGCCAGCCGCTGTCCACTTTAATTGAAGAGAGGCATAGCCGCCAGACGAGCAGCAGCCGCCCGAAGGCCCTCAAGGTCCTTGGGAACATGCTCCGCCAACTCGGATGTGTAAAGCGCCTCCAACGACTCCCGCAGCTCCTCTTCCTTGGCATCCGCAATGACCTGGTCCAAAGACTTGGGCTTGGCGCCGCCTGCTGCTGCAGCGGCGGCCGCTCCGCCCCCTGCCTCAGCACTCGGCGCGCCAGGCGAGGGACCACCTGCTCCGCCATTCGGCGTGCGAGGAGCTTGGAGCGACAGTACAGCCTGTCCGTCTCGCTTAGACTCATCAGCCTCTTGCCTGACCCAGAGCGTACACATACTGTCCGCAAGCACCTGCGCCAGGCCAGCCGCCTGCTCGGAGCCGATACCCTGCGCCTCAAGCATCTTGCCCAAGGCACCAACGTCCATGGCCATGCCCTTGCCCTTCTCTTCGAGCGATGCCGACTCAGGAGCCATCGGCGCCTGCTTCGTGAGCTCCTGCACCTGCGCGCTGAGCGACACCACCTCCTTCTCCTGCTCCGTGAGATTCTTCTCGGCCTGCTCCAGACTCTTCTGCATATCACCGAGTTGAAATTTCCTCGCAGCCACCAACTCTCTCGAAGCTTCCGCCCGCTTCTCCGCCGTCTTGAGCCGATTAGACATGGTCTGCAACTTCGCTTAGATGGGGCGAGACTCCTGAAGCGTGCTGTGCAAACGCTCCTTCTCGACCCGTAACGACTCCACATATGCGCCCGCCTTCGACTCACTGCTGTACTTGGACACAAACGCCAGCTGCTCATGGATCTCCTTGAGCCTCTTGCGTATGTCTGCCTCATCATCCTTTTCGCCAGCGTCGACCTGCATGTGGTCCCCGAAGAGCCCACGTTTCGACTCAGCCTGAAGCTCCTTGATCTTCGCCTCAAGCTCACGAATATTCGCCTGCCCTGCCGCCTCAGCAGACTGGTACTTCCACGGCGGCATCTTGGACTTGGCGCGGACTGAAGGCTCCGAGGGCTGAGCGTTGCCTCCGAACATGACTCCTTTCGCCAAGCCGCACAGCACACACTTCTTCGCATGCGCCATGTTCCACCACTGCTTACCCGTGCGATCATTCTTGCAACTCTTGCAATACCACCTGCACGCGGAGTCCTCGCGCGGCCCCATCGCAGCGACGTCGTGGGGCCACGAGAGCACCTGCTCACCTGCGGGGCCGCAGGAGGCAGCCGATCGGCTGGGGCGGACCAACCGTCGGAAAGAAAGCTTGTATCTTCTGGCCGCGGTGACCGCGGTATCCGTGCAAACCTGGAGGCGGAAGGCCTCCCAAGCATTTAGTCTTGAGCCAAGATGGCTACGGAGAGGAGGAGGAGGAGGAGGAGGAGGAGGAGGAGGAGGAGGAGGAGAGGAGGGAGGAGGGAGGAGGAAGAGGAGGAGGAGGAGGAGGAGGAGGAGGAGGAGGAGGGAGAGGAGGGAGAGGAGGGGGAGGAGGGAGAGGAGGGGGAGGAGGGGCAGGAGGCGGGCAGGGCCCCGCGCGCGCACTGCCTCCCGCTCCGCGCCCCGAATCGGAGGCGCCCGCGTGGCGGCCGGCCTCAGCTCAGCTTCTGGACCGCCACGGCGATGCAGGCCACCAGGGCCATGTCCACGCCCTGGCGGCGAGGGGCAACGACGGGGGGGGGACTGCCACAGGCGATGATGATGATGATGATTATGATGATGATGATGATGATGATGATGATGATGATGATGATGATGATGATGATGGTGATGGTGATGGTGATGATGATGATGATGATGATGATGATGATGATGATGATGATGATGATGATATGATGATGATGCTGCTGATGATGATGATGATGATGATGATGATGATGATGATGATGATGATGATGATGATGATGATGCTGATGATGATGATGATGATGATGATGATGCTGATGATGCTGATGATGATGATGCTGCTGCTGCTGATGATGATGCTGGTGGTGGTGGTGATGATGCTGATGATAATGGTGGTGATGATGGTGATGGTGGTGAGGGGATCCCTGTGCATGCTTCGGTGTCGTGCGTGCAGTTGTTCGCAAGGTTCACGGCAATGCTCGTCGATAGTCTTCGCCAAGAAAAAATGCGCACGTCCGATCTGTTGCAATCTTGAAATTCCAGAACTGAGTCCCCATGAGCTCTCCAAAAGGCCCCCCCTAGAGAGAGCCCCAGGGGGCCAAAATCGTAGATGTTACGCGGAGACTTGAAGAATTCTAGCCTTCTCGCAATTTCGACTTTCCGACGCTCCAAGACGATCAAGAAGCTCCCAAGACCGCCCCAAAAAACCCGCGACGCCTCCAAGAGGGCCCCCAAGACGGCCCAGGAGGGCTCCAAGATGGCCCCAGGAGGGCTCAAGATGGCGTCAGTTGGCCCCAAAGGAAGCCCCAGAGAGGCACAAGCAGGGGACCAAGAACCGAACATTCCACGTGTGTGCCCCGAGAAGCTCCCAGGAGGCCCCAAGAGGCCCTCAGGAGGCCCCACGGGGCCCCGAGAGGCGCCCAAAACGCGCCCACTAGGTCTCCAAGAGGCCCACGAAATAACCCCACGAGACCCAAAGAGGCCCCCAATAGGCCCCCAAACTGCCTCCAAGAGACCCTCGAAAGGCCCCCCACGACACCCCAACACATATACCAGAGGCCTCAGGCCCACAATCCAGGCGCGGTGGCGGGATGGACCGAAGGCGACTAGGATCCGCCGCCCCCTTTTGATTTATCAAAGGGGTGTCTGGCGTGCCCGATGATATGGCTTTTGGTTTTGGTCCTTTTTTCCAAAAGAACTCCTGGGGCTTCGGCCCGTCCCGCCGGCCACCCGGAAAGGCGCTCAAAACGCGTCCGTCGTGCCTCTGTTTCCTCCAGTTGGCCCAAGATGGCGTCCAAGACGGCCAAGATGGCCCAGGATGGTCTGCAAGACGTCTCCAAGACGGCCCAAGATGGCCTCCAAGACGGCTAAGATGGCCTCAAGATGCCTCCAAAACGGCCCAAGATGGCCTCAAGATGGTCTACGACGGCCCAACAGGCCCGCAAGAGGCCTCCAAGCCGGCCCAAGAGCCCTCCAAGACGTCCTCCAGGAAGGCCTGGAAGGGCCAGAATCATTGATTTGTCTTAGGTGTTTGAAGGATGTTGGTTGGCATTTGTGCCTTTTGGGCTTTCCGACGGCCCAAGACGGCCCAAGAGGCCCCCAAAATCGCCCAAGAGGCTCCCAAAAGGGCCCCATGACGGCCATGTGGCCCCCAAGACGGCCCCAAGAGCGTCCCAAGACGGCCCAAGAGGCCTCCAACACGCCCAAGATGGCCTCCAAGACGCCCAAGATGGCCTCCAAGACGGCCCCGAAGCGCCCCAAGAGGGCCCCAAGTCGGCCCAGAAAAGCCCCCAAGACGGCTCCCGACGGCGTCTGACGTGCCAGGAACACACCAAGATGGCCGAAGTTGGCTCGAAGCTGGCCCAAGAGGGCCTTTAGGAAGGCCAGAAGAGGCCCAAAACCTTGATTGTCTTAGGGGTTTAGACGGATTTTGACATTTACGTCTGTTCAGCCTTCCGACGGCCCGAGACGGCCCAAGAGCCCCCGAAGATCGCCCAAAGATCGCCCAAGAGGCCTCCAAGATGGCCCCAGAACGGTCCAAGAAGGCCCCAAGACGGCCCCAAGAGGCCCCCAAGACGGCCCAGGAGGCTTTGAAGACGCCCAAGATGGCCTCCAAGACGGCCCTGGAGCTTTCCAAGTGGGCCCCAAGTCGGCCCAGAAAGGCCCCCCAAACGGCTTCCGACGGCGACGGACGGGCCAGGGGCCCACCAAGACAAAGACGGCCGAAGATGGCACTAAGACGGCCCCAGACGGCCCGAGAGGCCTACAAGAGGGTCTCCAGGAAGGCCCGAAAAGGCCAAAATCATTGATTTCCCATGAGTGTTGGAAGGATTGTGGCATTTGCTTTCTGTCGGCCTTCCGACGGCCCGAGACGGCCCAAGTGCCCCCAAAGATCGCCCAAGAGGCCCAAGACGGCCCCAAGAGGCCCCCAAGACGGCCAGAGAGGCCTCAAAGGCGCTCAAGATGGCCTCCAAGACGGCCCAAGAGCCCTCCAAGACGTCTTCCAAGACGGCCCGAAAGGGTCAAAATGGCCTCCAGGCGGCCAAGGTGTTCAAGATGCCCACGTGCTCCCCGAAGGCTTTCCAAACCGATTCGGGGAACACATGGTCCGATAGCTTGGCAGGTCTGGCCTCAACGTTCGGCCACATAGGCGCTTCCAAAAAGGCAGGGGGCGGCGGTGATTCGCCGTAGGCGTCTTCCATCCGCCGCCCCCTGTCGATTCATCGCAGGGGTGCCTGGCGTGCTGGATCCTATCGGTTTTGATTTTGGCTCTTTTTCCAAAAGAACTCCCCCTGTGGCTTCGGCCCGTCCCGCCGGACACCCGAAAAGGAGCACGATTCCCCAATGTTTCGCTCAAGATGGCCCGAGATGGCCTCCAAGATGGCCACGTTGGCCCAAGATGGCCTCCAAGATGGTCCAAGATGGCTTCCAAGTCCGCCCAAGATGGTCGAAGACTGCCTCCAAGACGGCCCAAGAGAGTCCAAGACGGCCGAAGACGGCCCAAGAGACCCCCCAGAGACCTCCAAGACGGCCCAAGAGGCCTCCAAGAGGTCCTCCAGGAGGGCCCGAAGAGGGCAAAATCATTGATTTTGGTTGATTTTGGCATTCGCTCCTTCTCGGCTTTCCGACGACCCAAGACGGCCCACGAGGCCTCCAAGATCGCCCCCACAGCGCCCAAGAGCCTCCAAGGACTGCCCAAGAGGCCCCAAAGACGGCCCCAAGAGGTCACAAAGACGACCCAAGAGGCCTCCGAGACGCCCAAGATGGCCTCTCAGACGGCGATCGGGTGAACCCAGTGGGCCCGCACGAAAGGCCACTCTGGCGAAAGGTCACTCTCACGTCTGGTCCTCCCTGAGACTGCCTCCCCGGCGACGCGGAGCCCTGCCCCGCCGGCAGCACCTCTGCAGCAGGCCCGCTGCCCTCGGCGGCGCCGCCCGCGACCGGCGGGGCGGCGCCCCGCGGAGCGGCCCGCGCCGGCGCCTCTGCCGCGGGCCCGGCGCCCCTGGGCGGCGCCGCTCGCGCCCTGGGCGGCGCCCAGCGGGGTGCCCCGCTAGGCCAGGCGCCCGTCGAGCCCGGCGTCCACGAGGGCCCCGTAGAGCCCGGCCGCGGCCGCAGCCCAGCGCGCCTGCCCCGCCTGCGCCTCGGCCAGCTGCCTGCGGAGCTGCTCCACGCCCCCCGCGGCCTCCTCGCCATCGGCCTGGGCCCAGGCGAGCCTGTCGACGAAGTCGCCGGAGCCCGAGCACTCCCTCATGGCCTGCCTCAGGGCGGCCTCTCGGCCGCTGGTTGGGATCGGCGTCGCAGGTGAGCTCTCGGGCGCCTGCAGCAGGCGCTGGAACGGCTGGAAGGGCGGCAAGCTGTGCGCGAAGCCAGCGCACCGCACGACCTGCACCGACCCGATCTTAACACCGCGGGAGGCGTGCACCTGCGAGATACACTGCCGCATGCGCGTCTCCCAGACGCGCACGCGGTCGGCCTCGCTGCAGGAGACCGCCTTGCTGCCGTCGGCGTTCAGTGCACAGCTCAACACGGTGCCAGCATGGCCCACGTAGCTGCTGGCGCCCTCGCCGGGACCGCACGGCGGGCTGATCGAGCGCAGCTCCCCACATCCGCCAGCGACCAGGAGCTCGGCGCCGCTGGGGCTGACACTGACGCTGTGCACAGGCACCGGCAGCGTGTGCGAAGCGAGCGGCTTGCCCGTGCCCACGTCCCAAAGCCGCACGGAGCGGTCCAGGCTTGCAGAAACCACGACCTGGTGAAGCCCACCTCCCGGCAGCAGGGCCACCGAGGTCACCGGCAGCGCGTGCCCGGACCAACTGTGCAAAGGCCTGGGCGCCCTCTCGGCACAGACGTCGGCGACAGCGTACACGTTCACGCTCGCGTCCGCCGAGGCCGAGACGAGCAGGCTCTCGTCCTGGGACACGACGAGCTGCGTGACCTCGCGGTAGTGGGCCGGCCAGCAACTCAACAGGGCCCCCGTGGCGGCCTGCCACACGTAGATGGAGCCGGAGGCGGCGCCCCCGAAGCACAGCGTCGCGTCGCCCGTGAAGGTCATGGCTGTCATCTTCTCGGGAAGACTGGCGCGGTAGCTGGGCTTCTTGTCGCCCCACGCCCACACGTGCCACAGCGCCTTGTTCGCCTGCACGGCGTGCACGTGGCCGGAGCTGCCCCCGACCATGCCGAACGCGCACGGCTGCGCGACCGACTCCTCGAAGGTCGCCACGAGGGCCCCAGTGTGGAGATCGGTGGCAAATATTCCCTGGTCGTCGCTGCAAGCGGACAGCACATATTCCCCCATAGCCAGCACTTCAAACCAAAACTTTCAGAAACAAAAGGCTTGAGCCAAAATGGCTACGGATGGCCTCTAATACGGCCCTGGAGCACCCCAAGAGGGCCCCAAGTCGGCCCAGAAAGGCCCCCCAAACGGCTTCCGACGGCGTCAGACGGGCCAGGAGCCCACCAAGATGGCCGAAGTTGGCTCGAAGCTGGCCCAAGACGGCCCAAGAGGCCTCCAAGAGGCCTCCAAGAGTCACGAAAACGCCAAAAACACTGATGTTCCATAGGTTTTCGACAGATTTTGACATTTGCTTTGTTTCAGCCTTCCGACGGCCCGATACGGCCCAAGAGCCCCCAAAGATCGTCCAAGGGGCCTCCAAGATGGCCCCAGAACGGCCCAAGAGGCTTTTAAGACGCCCAAGACTGCCTCCAAGACGGCCCTGGAGCATTCCAAGAGGGCCCCAAGTCGGCTCAGAGAGGCCCCCCAAACGGCTTCCGACGCCGTCGAAGATGGCACTAAGATTGCCCAAGACGGCCCAAGAGGCCTCCAAGAGGGCCTCCAGGAAGGCCCGAAAAAGGAGGATTGTGGCATCTGCTGTTGTTCTGCCTTCCGACGGCCCGAGACGGCCCAAGTGCCCCCAAAGATCGCCCAAGAGGCCCAAGATGGCCCCAAGAGGCCCCCAAGACGGCCAGAGAGGCCTCCAAGGCGCTCAAGATGGCCTCCAAGACGGCCCAAGAGCACTCCAAGACGTCCTCCAAGACGGCCCGAAAGGGTCAAAATGGCCTCCAGGCGGCCAAGATGACCTTCAAGATGCCCACGTGCTCCCCGAAGGCTTTCCAAACCGATTCGGGGAACACATGGTCCGATAGCTTGGCAGGTCTGGCCTCACTCAACGTTCGGCCACATAGGCGCTTCCAAAAAGGCAGGGGACGGCGGTGATTCGCCGTAGGCGTCTTCGATAACGCCAACGTCTCAATATGCGCTGATGATTCCTTTCCGCCCCCGCACGATGCTCCCAGATGCGCCAAGGCAGCGCCGCGATGCACCAACGCGGCTCTGACGCATCCCACTATGATAGAGAGGGGGCCGGCGGCAGGGGGGGAAGCCCCCACGGATAAATAATCAAAAAAGCACAAGGAGACTTTACGGATGCAGTCTTGCTGGTGCGTTATAGAAATGGAACTGACTACCCTGCACCGCGCTTGACCACCTCCACTGCTCGTAACTTGTTTGGCAAAACTCACGATGCGATGGACGGCGGCGCCACTGATGACGACATCGACGATAACATAATCACTGCCGATGCTCGTCACCGAGAGGCGACGACGACGACGACGACGCCGACGACGACGACTACGAAGACGACGACGACGTCGCCAACGAAAACGACGACGAGGGAGGAGGGAGGACGACGACGACGACAACGACGACAACGACGACAACGACGAGGGAGCCGAAGAAGGAGGAAGGACGGCGACGCCGACGACGACAACGACGAGGGAGGAGGGAAGACGACGACGACGACAACGACGACGACGACGACGGCGACAAAATAGGAGGGACGACGACGAGACGCCGACGACGGACGACGACGACGACGACGACGACGACGACGAGGGAGGAGAAGAAAGGACGACCACGGCGACAACGACGACGGAAACGACCACGACGCCAAAGAGGACGACGACGACGAACACGAGGAAAGACAGAAGACGACGTAGGCGACGACGACGACGACGCGGGAGGAGGGAGGACGGCGACGACGACGACGACGACGACGCAAGAGCGCGCGCGCACGCTTTCGTTGAAAATCCGTGCTGCGAAACCTTGTGTTTTTATAGGTTTTTTGGACACACGGTTTTGAAATCCTTCCGAAACCGATGGGTTTTGAAGGACTTCGGCATACGCGCGCGACGACGCGCGCGTCTGCACTTCGTCCCACTTTTGAACAGATTCTCGCGACGGCACACGCGCAAGGGCGTTCGACTGATGTCGACATGCGCGCGCGAAGCCCGTTTGATAGTATGTTGTGAAAATCTTGAGAGACGCATGCTTTTCTTAAGATTGTGCAAGAGCTCGCGCGTAAGCTTTTTCAGCAAAGCAATGTTGCCAAACACTTGTTTAGGTTGTTTGGAAACTCGATTGCGAAATCATTCCGACACCGAAGGTGTTTGAAGGATTGCGGCATGCGCGCGCGACGACTTCGTCCAATTTGTTGCAAGGGATTCGCGCAAAAGTCTTGTGTTCGAGCAAAACAAATTCCCGCGTATTGTCTGGTTACCTGGGAACCTCAGGGGGAGCGGTACCGGCCCCCCGGGGATAATGTAAATTCATATTTAGGATGGACATGTGGTCAGAATCACCTATGATTTATATATCCGAAAGGGGTGCGGATAACGCCGGGGGGGGGGGGGTAGAGTCTATTCTCTTTTGAGAGTGGAGAATAGAAGCCCGAAGATCTTGGCGGACGGAGCGCCTCTGGCCAGCTATACTGTTCAGAAACCACAGGAAACTTGGAGGAAGCTGGGTATCTACTCTACACTCAGCCAATGCGTCCACAGAGTTGAGATCTGAGGTCGGACGCCGAACCCCAGGAGAGAAGCCGCATGAGGCTTACTCGCCTGAAGATGACCCGCGGTCTCGTCGACCTGTGCACGCAGAATTTCCATCCACGTTGAATGCTGCCATCGTCTCACTCGTCGTCGCAGTCACAGTCGAGGTCTATGTCCCCCGCGTGCCCCTGGTAGTGGGCTTTCCGCTCGGCTCTGGTGGGGCGCTCGCGCTTGGCGTCGCGTGGTTGACTGGCGCGCGGCGGAGCTTCTGGCTCCCCCCCGCCATCGACAGACGGGAATCTGGCCGACTGCGAGGTCGAACCATCAGCCCCATTCGGAACGGCCGGCTTCAAGTCGATCTCGTTGTTCACCGCCGCGCTCGTCGTCGAGGCCGTTCTTCGTCTTGTAAACGAGAATCGCGCGTTTGCTGCACGCGGGGCCGTCTCCGTCAGCGCGCGCCTTCTGATGCTCGCTGGGCGTCGTCGAGATCGCATGCTGCTTGGCCTTCTTGGTCCTCATCGAACCACGGCCCTCGCTGTCCTCAGGAATCTCCGCGCCCAGGTCTGCCGCTGCCCACCACGCACCTGGCGCTGGAAGAAGGTCGCCAAGGACGGCGCTCCGCGAGTTTGAAAGCATAGCGACTGCGCCCATCTTCGTCAAAGCGTCGGCCACCATCTGCCCAATAGGAAGTGTCGACACGACAGCCGTCCGAGCTCGCGTTCGCCCGCGACGCGCGCAGCCCTCGCGGCGAAGCACAGCGCCCGCCAGCTGCCGCCCGCCGCGGCCACGTCCAGCGCGGACTGGTTGTCGACGCAGAGGACCGGCGGGCGCGCGACAATGCCCCGCTCCTCCAGCATGGCGCAGAAGCCCTCCAGCATTTGATAGACAAGCGCGGCGGCTGACACATCAGCTTCGCACGTGCCGGCGGGGGCCGTGGGCCGGCGCGACAACCTCCGCAGAATGACAGCACTAGCCCATGAAACAGCGACGCCCGTCTGCGCCTTGGCGCCGAGACCTCCGCATCCGGCATCGCTCTACACGTCTAGTTCGGATTTCTGCCCATCTTCACCAAAACGGAGCTCGACGCACACTGCCCCCGCCCGATAACGCCATATCTTCTTGCACAGCTGCGGGGGCCACTTGGCGCGCATGTCAGCGGCAGGAAAGAAAACCGAAGTCCGGCGTTCTGGTGGCCAGCCAGTTATGCTCTCCGGCATGACCCTGAATCACCTTCACCTCGGATGCCGTCGGCGGCCCACCATCGGCCTCGGGCGCTGCCACCTGCGCGGCCCGCGCCGGCTTGGACAAGCAGTCGAGGCCGCGCCTCGTGAGTAGCTGACATGCGAAGATGCTCTGGCGCGCGAAGATGTCGCTCATCTTGGACACGACCTCCAGCTCCAGACCCACGAATGCAATTGGGGTTGACGGGGCAAGCACCAGCCTCACACTCATATCCCCCATATGCCTCACATGCGCGACGACAGCATCGCGAACATTCTCAGCATCCATCAACAACAACGTCGTCATTATGACATGTGAACAACCCGATGGTCTCGCGCTGCCCACTATCATCGGGCATGCTCACGCGCCAACCTTGCATGTCCGCGGTGCACTGGTAGAGCACGTGCGCGCACCTGTCCTGTTGGCATCGCACTTGCTTGGGGCGTGGGTTTCGTTCCATCCCCCAAGCTTTTGGTGCAGCGCGGAATGCGCATACTGATTTATGAAAAGTCCACAACGCTTTATCAGGCACACCACCACGTCCTACCAAGCCACGTGAAAGGCGCACCACGATGGGCAGTCCGTCTGGGAGTGGATCATGCACGCACGCTAAATGCACGTCTAGCTTGCAGACAACAAGACCTCAATTGAGATAGCCTCATATCAAGAATGGGTGAAATGATTGCTGCTTATGCGGCCCAGATTCGCTCTGTTGGGTTACACGCGGCATCGCCCCCGCCGACCACTCCTCCGCAACTGTCGAGCCCTCCTGCCTTGACCCCCCAAACGGTCTTCATCGGAAGGCAGGGCGCCAGCATGACCTCCGACTCGCGCAAGCCCCTGATCTACGTCCTCGGCCACCGCGACGACCCGGTAGAAACTCATGGAGCTCCCGCTCGGCAGCGAGCAGTTTCTAATTCGCAGGCTAGGCGCCGGCGGCGATGTGGATCTCCACCTCCAGGACTGCTCGCGCTCCTGGCTCGCTCATCTCCCCGTCTGTGTCCTCCTCTATTGCGTAGGCGCCGATATCCTCCACGTCGCCGCTCGGTGTAGATTGACCTGCAGGGCGTCGTTGCACGCGGGAGACCCGAGCCCGGCTGGAACCTGCGCCCAGCTCCAATTCAGAGAGACTACGACGAAGCCCACGCAGCCCGCGTCGAGCGACGACGTCGACGAGCCGATCGATGGCACCAGCTCGCCCTACCGCCCACTGCGCCCGCCACATCGTGAAAACCGGCCTCCGACACGGTGCCAGGGGCTGCGAGCTGGCCCGCGCTCGGCGGTCCCAGCGCATCTGCGCCCA